AAATTTTGGTTTTGTTTTTAACTTTGCATTTAAGTTTTTCAGTGTGGATAAATATGTTAATTTGTTATTAGGCAAAGGCTGGAAAGAGACACCAAATGTTAATAGTAGTTAATAGTTACTCAAGGTCATAAGATTATAATAGTTTATTTTCTAGTTTGTGCCTTTTCATTTAAAAAGAAAGTGTGGCTGTGTGTGTGTATTTACTCTGAAGAAATAGTAAATGAAAAACTATCAATATAAAATTGAATTATTGAGTCTTCACTTTTAGAAGAAAATGTTACTAATGATGGAAGTTCTTAGAAATATCAGCTTACATTTACCTGCAYGCCTGTATTCCCAGCTACTCAGGAGCCTGAAGCAGGAGAATTGCAAGTTCAAGGCTARCAAGATCCTGTCTCAAAGTACAATTAAAAAAGGACAGGGGATGTCACTCAGTGGTAAAGCAAAAGGAAAATGAAACAAATCAGCTTACCAAAAATTTGGACATAAAGTAAAATACTGTTAATTTTTTGTTTCCTTCTCCTTCCCTGTTTCTTCCTACTCTACCTTTTAAAAATGTAGGCTCCAGGGGGCCACGAGCTGAGTTGTGACTTCTGGGAACTTATGGGGTTGGCCCCTGCTGGAGGAGCGGATAACTTAATCAATGAAGAATCTGATGTCGATGTCCAGCTGAACAATAGGCATATGATGATCCGAGGAGAAAATATGTCCAAAATCCTAAAAGCACGTTCCATGGTCACCAGATGCTTCAGAGATCACTTCTTTGATAGGGGGTACTGTGAAGTAAGTGTGTGATGGTCATCTTTTGTAGATAGTACGTCTTTGCCATTTTGTGGTGAACAGTAGTGCTCAGGACAGACCTACATTCTACATTTCCTCTTTCCATGCAAATAGGTTACTCCTCCAACGTTGGTGCAGACGCAGGTAGAAGGTGGTGCCACGCTCTTCAAGCTTGACTATTTCGGGGAAGAGGCATTTTTGACTCAGTCCTCTCAGTTGTACCTGGAGACCTGCCTTCCATCCTTGGGAGATGTTTTTTGTATTGCACAGTCATACAGAGCAGAACAATCCAGAACACGAAGGCACCTGGCTGAGTATGCAGTTGTCTTTTTGGTTTTATTTATATTTAGAAAATATCTTCAGAAAAGAAATCTCTGTGTTGATAAATGATGTCTGTGTGAAAAAAATCTGGTGGCTTATGAGAATAATGTAAGAACATGTTAAGTTTTGCCTCTTAGGCTACAGCTAAAATCTGTTTTTTCACTTTTCCTGGAGCTTTTACATGTTAAGGAAGAAAAAAAGGAATCTCTACTTTAGGTAAAGAGGTATTGAAAACGCTAATTGCAGAGTTGAGAATTGGTTAGTAGTGTTGGAATTTTACCTTTCTGGATAGTTTCCGAGTGTAAAAATTTTTACTTGAGAAAAACTTAGTGTAAAAAAAAGAAAAACAAAAAACTCTGAGTGTCTTGTCCTTCAGGTACACTCACGTGGAAGCTGAGTGCCCTTTCCTGACCTTTGAGGATCTCCTGAACAGATTGGAGGACTTGGTTTGTGATGTGGTAGATAGAGTCTTAAAATCACCGGCAGCAAGCATAGTGTATGACCTCAACCCGGTAGGTGAAGTGTTTTATGAAGGTAAACAAATCATAATCTTTTGTTGGAAGACAGTGAGTCTTCCTAGATTTTTGTAGATTTTATGGCTTGGCAAGCTGAAATAAGTGACTAATAATTTGAAGACAAAATTCAATATTAATCATTGTTTGTAATTTTATAATATTTTTAATGTGTATACGGAGGTTCATACATGTTTCTATTTTAGGAATGTTTACATGGTTTCTTAGTCCGAAATAATATTTCATAATAATAAGTAGTTTTGTGTGTGTGTGTGTGTTAATAGAAATTTTGGTTTTGTTAGTTTCTTTATGTACTCTGTATTTTTCTTTTCTCCTGTAGAACTTTAAACCCCCTAAACGGCCTTTCAAACGGATGAACTACTCAGATGCTATTGTGTGGCTAAAAGAACACAATGTAAAGAAAGAAGATGGGACTTTCTATGAATTTGGAGAAGTATGTATTCCTTTCTCATCGTTCTTTCTAAGGTAGTAGTGTGCTGAAGTGGATTGCAGTTGCTGCTAAATTAACTAGTAATGTGGAGGGAATCTGCATGTCCTCAAATAAATGATAATAACAGAGCCTGCTTCTTTGATTGTCTGCGGGTTTATTGTAGAGTGAGCCTTAGAACAGTGCCTTTTTTGTAGTACGCCACAAATAACTAGCAAGTTTTTAGCCTTCCTTCAAATATCATCCTTTGTCTCCCCATGRTCATTCCTCAGCCTCTGTGTAAAAACTCTACTCATAATCCACTAGCCTGGCAGAAGTGTTCTAGAAAATTATGAAGCCTTTGAAATTAAATGCAATATTTTGGTATGTGTATAAATTTGTTTTTCTGGCATTTCCAAAAGAGATTCATTCATTCCTTCCAAAACAGATTTACAACTCCTTCCCATGGAAGGAGATTCAAAAAGAAGAGAGCCATTGTTTAAGATGCAAAACTGAGAGAGAAGGCCTGGGTGGAGAAGCTTTCAGTACACAGGTTTAGCCTAGTAATCTCCCTCCCAGCATGCCTTGGGAGTGTGGGTTGGCAACAGTGTTCCAGGCCTTAGTTTCCGTGTAATTGTCCTTACATAATATTTGCAGATCTAGTTGTTTCACAAGTGAAATGTGAGTAGCTGCTACCAACTAGTTTTGTTTTGATTTTTAGAAGGAATTTATACAGAGGATAAAGAGTATACTATCTCTATAAATCACCCTATCTTGGGACTTTGGTTTGTTATGTATAATAGCACAATTTTAAACTGAAATCTTGAGTGACTGATTTGTATACCTAGTGCTTAACAGCATTATTGAATAGAAAGAATACAAGCTGTAGAGTCAGAACATGTCCATCTCCTACGTGGGCTTAGCTCTTGCCTCTCTCTGCTCTGATCTGTTGTACAGCTGAAGGCCATTGACCCCGTCTGATTCTTCTCTCCTATGGAGGCAATGTCCTCTTGTCAAGGTTGTGGGAACTAAATAAGCTAAATGTCTAGCAGGTCCCTGGCACAGGGACCATGTCAGCTTGAATTGTACATTGCTCTCATCACATACACACAAGGGCACYAGAATATATAAATGGTTTTCAGGCTTTTCAGGTGTGCAGTAARACCCCACACCTCCTAACTTAATGTTACACAGATCCCCAGAATGAAAAGTAGCACAAGCTAAGAGACCAGCACTCTCCCGCTCATTTATCCCCTTTGGCACCTCAGAGGGCCTGGGGCTCCAGCGACTGGAGCTGAAACAGCTATGCCAGGTGATTGCTCAGCTTTCTTTCTGATTTAATATTAAATAAACCAGTGAGTCTTGTTCAAACCTCAATCAGTTTTTAGAAGGATAAGAGTTTTCAATTTTAACTTGAAAACTCTGTGGTTTACTGAAGGATGTTTTAAGAGAAATAGTCACTTGGTTTATCATCTTTTTTCTTGGCTAACTATTCCAGATGTGATAGCATTTTAGGGGGGTGGGGGTACTGGGGATTAAACTCAGGGGCACTCAACCCCTGAGCCACATTACCAGTCCTGTTTTGCACTTAATTTAGAGACGGGGTCTCACTGAGTTGCTTAGTACCTCGCTTTTGCTGAGGCTGGCTTTGAATTTGCAATCCTCCTGCCTCAGCCCCCCGAGTTGCTGGGATCACAGGCAGCTGTGATAGCACTTATAAACTTTATATTGTTTGTCTTATGATGTTTTACTACTATTGAAGGTATAACTTTATAATAGAAAAGGAGTTCAGATAACAGGAGAATTTAAAGATTAGTGTCATTAATAATGTACTCTGTGGAGGTCAGTGGTGTTGTGGAGCATTGACAGATTACCTTGGTCTAAAGTAGACCATGACTTTAGAACTTGGTAAACTGGCCACTGAGAAAATAACTGAGCAGGACCTAGTCACAGCTTAGAGATTTTTGTTTGTTGGTGAGGCARGATTTGTTCCTCAAGCTGAGACATACTAAAGGAGAAGGCACATCTTTTTATGGTTTATTTAATAATTGTGTGAATCTATAAAATGTTTATTTCTTTTTTGAAAGAAATTGCTTCTTATGTGGATGTGTATGGGTTGGGTTGGTGTTTGTCTCCATTGTATTGTGTGCATAAGAGGAAGGGCTGTGCAAAGGGAAAGAGCTGCTTCTCTCTTGTTGCATTTCCAGTCGTAAATGTTAATGAAGTCTTTTTAACCTCAGGATATCCCAGAAGCTCCTGAGAGACTAATGACAGACACCATTAATGAACCAATCTTGTTGTGTCGATTTCCTGTGGAGATCAAGTCCTTCTACATGCAGCGATGTCCTGAGGATTCCCGCCTTACTGAATCTGTTAGTTTTGTGACTCAGAGATTATTAGAATTATGGCTTTTAAGGGAGTGGGGACTGTCCTTTGGAATAAGGTACTACTTGGGGCAAATATTTTGTAAATCTAGAATGATAGTAATACTTGTGATTCATTTCCTCCCCTGATTTGGGTTAACATGCTTCAACAGGGAATTTGAATAATATTCGAATTTTGCATGATTATTGTGCTTCTTTTAACAATAGGAGGTTAATTGTAGTTTTTATTCAAGCCTCACAGCAAAGCCATGTAATTGTGTGTTTTATTTTTCCTTGTATTTAAAGGTTGACGTGTTGATGCCCAATGTTGGTGAGATTGTGGGAGGTTCAATGCGTATCTGGGATAGTGAAGAAATTCTGGCAGGTTATAAAAGGGAAGGGATTGACCCCACTCCTTATTACTGGTACACAGATCAGGTAAAAACAATTTTTTTAAAGTCTATAATTTTTTTCATTTTAATAGTTCTGTATACACTGAAATTTTTGAAAGGAGAAAATTCCAGGTGGTACTTGGTGTTTGAGTGAGTTATATTTGGTTTCATGATATAATAATGTTGCATGTGAATGTTGCCATTTTTGTCTTTTACCAAGTTATATGTTAATTTTCATTTGAAAATACATTAATTTCCATTTGGAAATGGCCTTGCTCATTGCTACTGAGTTTTAAAAATATATTATTAGAAATTTCCAATTTCTAGTACTTTCATTTTCCTCTGATAAATGGAGTTGCTTGGTTCAGAGGTTGAAATTTCTTCTTTCCAGGGCGCTGCTTAATGTCTGATTTATTTTTCATTTGAATTATTTCTTTCCCTGTATGTAGTTTATGAAGGTATAAGACTATGGGTTGAATTCTGAACCACAATGAGCTAATTCCTCTATAGTGGAAATTTTAACTTTTTATTTTTATTTATTTATTTTTAAGATAAAATTTTAAATTAAGCATTTACTTCTTCTTGCTCTTGATTTCTTTTTTATTTAACAGAGGAAATATGGTACATGTCCTCATGGAGGATACGGCTTGGGCTTAGAACGATTCCTGACTTGGATTCTGAATAGATATCACATCCGAGATGTATGCTTGTACCCTCGATTTGTCCAGCGCTGTAAGCCATAACTGATTCCTCCTAAAGCATGAAGAAAAGATGGTCATGAAAGAAACAGACTGCCTCATTAAAAAGGAACAAAATGCCAAATTGTCCCATGTTTATTCCATTGGGGTATAGCTTTCTGTTTTTTATTCCCAGCTACCATAAAACCATAAAAAGTAGTTCACATTATTTGAATATCAGGGGACATTGATATCATTTTAAGAAAAAATATCCACTACAAAGTCTGGGGAAAATATGTGGCATGTAACTGTAGTTATGGATACATTTCGGCATTTTATCCAGTTATAGCAATTGTGTTAAATATGCCATCCATAATTAGTTTTTAATTATCATGTAAGKTATCCTAAAAAATATTTTTAAAGCTTAAACTTTCTGTACTTTTAAATGTAACTGGAATTCTTTAATTTGTATCATTTTATTGTATCAGTGATTTAAAACACATCTGTGGGGGCAGTTCACAGTGTGGGCATAAAGATTTGCTAGTGTTAGAGTGTACCTCAGCAGTAGATTCTGGAATCTAATGAGTACATTGTTTGACATCAGTTAATCTTTTCTGAATCCACATAGCTGCTTTTAATTTTGAGGCATATGATTTGATATGGAAGAATTTGTAAAAGTGGAATTGCCTTAAAATTTAAAGTGAGCATAATTGTTGGGGAGAGGCGTGGTATTTAAATGATCCTTCATAGCATTAGTTTAAGATAAAGGGGTAGACCGAGCTTCCTTCTTTCCTGGCGATTTTTAAAATTAAAAATATGTTCCAAAAGAATTTGGCAGTTTGAATCTTAACAAAACTGACTGGCTGGTTGAGTCATCCCTCCCCTGTCCTTAGAGCTGGTCTGTGCTACCTTACATACTTCATGGCAGGATTACTAAATGGCTTCAGAGCAGATTTAGTTAATTTTTCCCTCAAATGCATGCCATGTATTCTCAATAGACTGTATTTTCCCAGTGATCAATAAATGGAACACTCATTAAAAACTCTTTGCTGGTTTAATTTTCTCAAACTAAACATTACTGTCTCACATTAGTTCATATCTTATGCATTTTTAATCTTTTATTTTTTGTGGTGTATATATGTAAAGTTAGATATTCAACTTAGTAGATATTACTAATGTTATGGTAATTAAAGAGGCCAATTTTTAAAAATTAGATATTTAGGCCCTAGTTAGAACTTTTTTGCCAATTGCTGGGTTTCTGTTCTCGCGACAAAAGGCTCAGGGGTCACTCCAGTTAAACTGGGCTAACTGGGCTGCATGAAATAACCACAAAGAGACACAAATACCTTTTTCTTTGGGGTTGCTGTGACGGCTCCTCTGACCTTAAGGGTCCCCAGGAAGAGAGAGAGAGAGCACGCGCTGACCCCTTTTATTGAGGAGAAGCTATTCAAACAGGCAAGGGGTCAGGTTTCAGGGGGCTGAGTATCTTCATGATGTCCACTGTCAGCAGGTTGACTGACACCTGGGTAGGCCATACCCAAGGGCACAGTAAGAGRAGGGGACACACACAAGGCACTTCCATGGAAGAKTCTATCCTAAACAGGGCAGGGGTTATATTACAAAGGAACAGGTGAGCATAGCCTCACCCATGGGCTGTAGCAAGACATACCCATGGACGAGACACCGACCCTTGCACCCAAGAAGAGTGCCACATTTCTGTGACTGAGAGCCTTAGCACCCAGCCGGGGAGTGTAACTCAAGTCACGCGTTAGGGTTGGCCTCCCATATTTTTGTATCCTTTTTGTGTTAATTTCTGACACTAGATTTTATTCTATGTGTAATTAAGTGAAAATGGCAGATGGAAATGGGGCMTTTGTAGTCTRTGTGGCTATATCTTTAAATAAAAAGTACTTGGAAGAAGGTGAATGAGCTCTATTTGGCTTCAACTTGGCAGTTTAATTGAACAGAATTTAAGTGAATAGGTTAGGCTTAGTTAGCCTAAACTTTAATTGTATAAGGAGGTTAAGAGTTTTAAAATACTAAAAGAAAGCCAGGATTAGGCAGTAGGTAAGGGAGCAGAGGTCATGGTTACCTCAGGCCATTAAACAGCACACTTCATTTGTTAACTGCGGCAGTTGCTCTGCTCTAAGTGCCACGGATACCATTCCTTGTCCCTGCCATGCACAGCTCACAGACACCCCTGGTTCTGAGTTCTCTCATGGGACTCCTTACTGGATTCTTCATCTTATGGATCTTTCTAGCTGGAAACTGTTGATGCCTATTCATTTTGGCTCTTGTGTGACAGACATGCCCAAAGTTAGAGACAAGCAAGAAGATGGTACTGTAGCTGTTCAAATTATAGATAGCGCTCAACTTCAGGATGGTTTAATTCATGACTTTTCAGGTTTAATGATGGTGCAAAAGCATCACCAGGCAAACATTCTGTATCATTTTTAATGTAGCCAGTAAATTATAGGAGATGTTTAACACTTCATTATGAATAAGCTATGTGTGAGGTGACTTTGCCCAACTATAAACTTATAATGTTAAATATTTTGAGCACAATTAAAGTAAGCTAGGCTGAGTTACTAGTATGGTAGGTGCATTTAGTACTTTTTCAACTTACCAATTTAACTTACGATGGGTTATAGGGGATGTAACCCATCATATCAAGAAATATCAGGACGTATACACCAACTTTACCTCTTTAATGTTCAGCCATTGCTAGCAACCAGATTTTTCTACCTTGTTCAGCTCTCTCCTACCTTGCTGCCTCTAGCAATTCCTGAACATGTTTAATATATACAGTAGTTCAGTTCTGTCTTAAGCAACCTTGGCTGTACATTGGGATCACTTGGGGACCTTATGGTCCCTGGTACCTGGGCCTTATCCCAGAACAGTTGAATCTGAATTTCAGGGACAAGGCAGGACATTTTTAAAACATCTCAGGTGAGGATGACATGGAGTTGATGGTCACTAGTACCTGCCTCCTAAGCTTAACCCTCATTACTGTGGGCCCTTTCGATTCAAAGCCATGTTCTTCAGTTGTGAAAAAAGTTTCCTAAATTGTTTTATTAGAAATTCTTTAAAGTTTCCAATTCATGTTTTCTTTTTGTATCATCCTAGTTTCCTCCAAGTTTGTTTTTGTGGTAGGTTTATGTCTTTCCTGTTAGAAGCTTTTTTCAGATGTCAATTGATGCTTAATTGTCTGCTCATAATGCAGAACAAGAGACTGCAATGTCCTCTAGATGCTCCGAGCACATGTTGAAGATGTAAGACTTACTGTGCGCTGAGCTTTCTTGGCTGGGTAGTAGCCTCCTCTGCCCCCATGTCAGTACTTTAAGGTCATTTCCTTAGGCTGTCTGGGTTTCCTGTGGAGGGAAAAAGGAGGAGAGGGTTGGGTTTCTGCTCCTTCCAGAAGTATATATGGTTCATTATCCTCTGCAGTTTTCATTTTGTCTCTGTTCTCAAGCAGTGTCTGGGATCTGCCATCTAGAGCCTTCTGCTACTTCTCTAGGAACCAAATCTAGTTAGCCACAGAAGGGTGAGAATCTAGGCAGTCTGATGGCTGCTTTAACAGATTTTTGATCTATCTYATTCTAGCATCTTCTTTTCATCTCCACTTCAGAGGTACCTGCCAGTCCTGAGCCTCTGAGGGTTTCTGTTGTATAAATCTGGATGGTTGTTTTAGGATGTCCAGCTTAAGATTATTTTCTTAGATCTATTATATCAAACACTTAACCTRTCTGCCTTCTGGATTCTAAAATTCTATTACTATGGTTCCCTTTTCCCTATCATTTTAGACTTGTGCCTAAATACAAATAAAAAGCAGCACTGCCACCAAAACCTCTGTTGACATTTCAGTGGGATTTGGGAGTGAATAGAATAAACTACATTCACAAGTTTAAACCTCCCAACTCCTACCTTTTGTGGTATTGGGGATTGAACGCAGTGGCACTCTACCACTGAGCTACATCTCCAGCCCTTTTTATTTTTATTTTGAGACAGGGTCTTGCTAGGTTGCTGAGGCTGGCCTGGAACTTGTGATCCTCCTGCCTTGGTCCCCTGGGTTGCTGGGGTCATGGGCATGCACCACCAGGCCTGGCTCAAGCAATTTCTTTCCCTGGAGATCATTACTGTATTTGAGGACAATTGGAAGGAAATGGGCATAAGTAAAAGGGAAGAAATGTTCAATTATTAGATGTTAGAAGGACAAATTAGTGAAGAGTGATGAGGTCTCTGTAAATGGGGAAAGAAATAGTGTCTATAGAAAGGTAATAGTGACATTTAATGTTGGGTTGTGGGAATGGGTAGATAGGCACTAATCTTAGGTTATGACTGTTACAATAACAATAAAAAGAATTTCCTTAGCATATTCAGGTTCAGCTGTGAATCTGAATTCATAACTGTCTTCTCGTGGCTGACAGCAGCTCTAACAAACTCGAGACACTGGTTACAGGGATGACCAGTGAGTGATAGGACCTCCCTGGTCCCCACTTTTTGCCACCTTTTTCTGAGATGCAGCCTGAGGGAAGGGAGTAAGCCCTAACATTGGAACCAGATGCACCAGGGTTCAATTACTAGTTTCTGTCCCTTTCCAATTATATAGCCTCAGGAAAGTCAGGGAACCCCTGTAACTCTTCCTCATCTGAAAAATAGGGTAACACTGCCTCTTTGTAAGATGGCTACAGTGATTAAGAATTACAGTGTCTGGCACTTAATGAGTAGAAAACATTATTACCAACTTTTTTTCCTGTTGGCTAAATATAGGCATGACCCAAAGATCTACCAAACTTTGCTTATTATAGTTAGTGTTGCTGAAACCGTGTCCGTTTTCTTGACACTTGCAAAAGGCCCAGTGAACCAAGGACAAGTTGTTGGGGAAGCAAACGGACTTATTCAGTAAGCCAGCAACCTGAGAAGGTGGTAAACTAGGGTCTTGAAGGACCCTCTTAACTCAGCACAAGTTTTAAGCTACTTTTCATCTTGAAGCAAAGGAGGAAGAGAGGGGCATGATTTGGTTAGGAAGTGATTGATGGCTGTAGACTGTAACCCCATGGTTAGCAATCTGTTGTTCTTATGCATAGTCAGAAGGTCACAATGCCCCTGTAAATATTGAAAATCTCTTAATCTTGTTTTGCTCTCATCAGTCTTTAAGGGGGAAGAGAGGTCAGGGAAGTTTAAAGTTTAGGTAAATCAGTCATGTACAATCAGTTTTGGACAAACATTCTTTAAATGGTTAACAAGGGCTGTGCTCTGGGTGGCAGAGGTCTTTTCTAGTACACCATCACAGAGGTGAAATTAAATACAGTATGGAGGATGTGAAACTAATTTTTCTTTATCTGTTTCTGGTCTACCTCCATAGTATCTCCCCACATCCAGAATATTTTACTCTTCCTCCTTTTATAAATTCTAATACCGCTTTGATAAAAAGCATTTCTTTGCCCACTCAGCCAGAAATCAGTTCTTACTTTTTTGGGGAAACTTCTGCTCACMAGTGAGTTCCTTACTACACACACATTCGGATAAATATAATACCCTCCCCAGTCTTAGCTAAGTGTGAAAAAAGACATCTCAGGGCATCAGATTTGGAGGGAGGAGGTAGAGAGGTTCTCAAAATCAGAGTTGTTAGGTTACAGTGACATAAAAAGAATTCCCTTTGCACATTCAGATTCAGCTATGAATGGGATGGGGCTGGAGGAGAACTGAACCAGGTAAGGCATTGAGGAATCTTTTAAAGTTTCATTCACAAACAGCATTTAGGGCTGGGGTTGTGGCTCAGTGGTAGAGAGCTCAACTTGCATGTGTGAGGCCTTGGGTTCAATCCTAAGCACCACATAAAAATAAATAAATAAATAAAACAAAGATTAAAAAAAAAAAGAATAGCATTCTTATAGAATAGGGAAGCTCCTAGAAGGGCCATGCAAGAACAAGAAGGTGGAACTAGTCCATGAACTGTAGGAAAGGGGCTTCTGAGGCCTGTTGCTTCTGTGAGAAGAAATTCTGAATCCTGGTCCTATAGCTCAGAAGAAGACAAAGAACTTACCATCTGCCCAGAGCTCTGGATGTGGAGTAAAAGCTTTCTGGGAAGAATCTATTCCCTGGGTTTTGAACTCGCACATCTTCAAGGAGCAGGACTACCAAGCAGAGAAATTAATACCAACCTGTCCAAGATGGATGAGAGCCCTAGGTCCTGCAAAAAGCAGAAAGGCTCTATAAGAACCCTTCCATCACCACTTGGAGCAGGGAAGTCTCCAAACAACAACTTTTACCAAAACTGAGCTCAAAACAGTAAATGAAAAGTATTAATGTAAATGAAAGTGTTAGGTGGTGCAGAACATGTCTTAATGCTGGCTCAGGAACTCCCATGTCCCCTCTGCTCCACAAAGTGAACCTTCAGGAACCTGAGCCTCACTACTATAGGGAGATCACCCAGAAGATAGTCATTACCTAAGTTCGGCATCAGTGGGCCTTTGTCTCACCCCAGCCCCACCCACTCACTCTGCTCAGTCCACATGGCCCCTTTGCTATTCCCCAGCAGCCTATCACATGTTGAATTGTGTCCCCCTAAAATATGTTGCCATCCTAACTAATACCTATCTGTACATAGGACCTTATTTGGAAATAGGGTCTTTATAGATATAATAAAGTTAAGATAAGGCTGTTAGGTGTGGGATCCAATAGGATTAGTGTCCTGATAAGAGGGGAAGTTGGCATGTGGAGATGGCCATATGACATTGGAGGAAGGGATTGGTGTGTTGCAGTTGCTGCCAGCCAAGCAATGCCAAGGATTGCCCAAACTTCTTCCCTCCTTCAGGTCCCTGCTTGGATGTTATGTTTGCAAAGAGGTGTGACTGTCTGACTGTGCTACACAAACTAGCTGTTCAAGTCTCTCTGCATTCCTTTGTCTCTGCTTTCTCTTCTAGTCCTCTAGCTATACTTGACATTATATTGTATATCTTTTATCTTTGTCCTCAGATTATTGCCTACTAGAACATTATTTCCATGAGGGTAGAGACTCCAACTTATTTCTGCATGCCCAGTGCCTGCCACCCACCTGACAAAGAGCTGACTTCCCATGTATTTATTCATCAGTGAATGAGTTATTATTATTTTTTGGTACCAGTTATTGAACTCAGGGGCACTTAACCACTGAGCCACATCCCTAGCTCTTTTTTTGTATTTTATTTAGAGACAAGGTTTCACTGAGTTGCTTAGGGCCTTGCTAAGTTGCTGAGGCTGGCTGGCTTTGAACTTGCAATCTTCCTGCCCCAGCCTCCCCTGTTGCTGGGATTACAAGCATGCACCATTGTGCCCAGCAAATGAATTACTTTTGTGCACAATTTTTTTCTTAACTTTTTCAAGCTTTTATCCTCCATATTACCTGATAGAATGCTTTACTCGTGGTGGACATTCAGTAAATATGTGAAACATTCAGTTAAAAAGGGTAAGTCAAAATGTACATTGTTTTGACCTAGATTTGGTGCTTCTTTGTCATAAAACGATGGTGGGGACAACCAATCAGATTTTTCTGAGTAATCACTATAGCTTACCATTTGTCACATGCAGCCACTGTTTTTCTTGCACTGAATCCCCTCCCCCATTCTTTTTCTGATTATAGGCACAGAGTTGAGTAATCTGAATTTAGTTTGTATAGCTCAGAGGTGCCAATCATGGCAAATAATGAATTAGAGGATCYTCTCCCTGCTTTCCTGAAGCATTGAGCTGAAACCAACAAATTAATTTTATTTAGAATCACTTGCTGAACTAGAGTGTTGTTGGTGACAGGCAAGTGCTTTATTTACTAATTAAGTCACCCAGGCTGAGATAAACTCTCTCCCTTGTGGCAGGGGTGCTGCTTATCTGAGGCAGACCAGAAACTGTGCCTTTTAGCCTTCTGTTTGCTAATGAAATTGGTATATAATTTTGTTAAAAATGTGTAAGCCAGGAAAAAATGTGTGTGTGTGTGTGTGTGTGTGTGTGTGTGTATTGTTTCCCCATTATAGTTCTGCAAATTCCTTTAGTCTTTCAAGGTCTCTTCTGATTTTCTTAGTAAACCTGCATCAGAGCTCACAATTTTTGAGTAAAGGGCCGTATTTTCTACCAGTTTTGAAAAGAAGTTGTATAAAAGCATATTTTATCTGCTGTCCTTTCATGGGAACATAAAAAGTTACACTTTGGAAAGCTGTTGTCTTTGGTGCTTGTAAGAAATAAACCATAGATTAGAAATAACAATTGTATGTACTCTCTGTTGAAGCCAGATTGTGAAGTTCCATCTTCAGTTTTAACCTATGAGTCCATAATAGGTGCATTACTCGAATAAAATGGTGCTAATTTATTTAAAAATATTGTTACATTGATACATATAATAAATTTTTGCTAGTTCCCTTCTCCTTTGTGGTTGAACACAAACCTAATCTGTCCCAACTGTTGATTTTATGAGGTTTGGAACCTTTATGCCTCATCACTAATCATCAGCATTTCCCTGGAAGGGGCCAGAAACTCCTCTTATCTCTACCTAGCAGGTGGGGCTCAGCACAAGCCTAGAGGAGTGACTTAACCAGGGTCCCCCAGAGGTGACCAGGAAGATCTCATATAGATCTGACCTCTTGAACCTCTGGCCTTTTCTAATTCTCTCGTCTATACTTATTCCAGCACAGCATTTCAGAATATGGAGTAGAGTCTTTTTATGCAGTTTATTTAGAAAAAAGTGGGTTCTGGCTCTATGTAGAAAAGTATATTATCTATAAAGATCACCTCTTTAAAGTGCAACTTCAAACTCACATAATTTTGGCTATGAGTCAAGAATTAGCAAAATGCCCAGGATGGCAGTTTGATACTTGCAGCAAATTTTATTACTTTTTCTCAAGAAATGCCATACTTGCATTAGAAGATCATGGAGGTAATATGAATGACAATCTGTTTAATTTTGACATTTTGCATTGGGCTTATAGTTATAAAGAAACCAATAAATTAATTCAATCAAGAGCACAAATTATAGCTGTAAAATCTGGTTTTCAATTTGATCTAGACTTTTGTCTTCCCTGAATATTCCACATGACTTGGTCCCTTAATTCCTTTAGGCCTTAGCTCAAATGTCAGTGGACTTCTCTGACCCATGGAACTCAAATTACAATAGCCCCCTCCATCCCTTTACCTTGCTTCATTCTTTTTCTTAACTGCTCATCATCAATCAAAATATTCTGTCAAGATTATTTCCTGTTTTTCTCCTTAACACTCTACAGGAGACTTGGTCTTCTCTGTTCACGGCTGTTTGCCCAGCACCCATTGCCACAATAGGTGCTCAATATTTGTTCAACGAATGAATGATTCCTGAGACCTTTGTGTACCAAGGACTGGTCTTATACCCCACGACACATTGAACATATATGGACTGGTGGAGGTGCAGGAATGTAGGAATTGTTAAAAAAAAGTGTACGGCTTCCTCTGAACAAGAAATTGGGGATGGGGCCGCTAATTTGGGAAGGTGCACGGAAATGATCCCGTCAAACCTTACTATAACAAGCTTCCAAGATACGCACTTGCCAGCCGGGACTTCACTTTTCCTAACACTCTCATATCAGCGGTATAATGTTCACTGTTTGTTGTCACCTGCAAAACTGCTACTTTAGAGGTGCTGCTGAGAAATCAAATAGTCACACGAGTGCATGATATAAAACACTCCCTTTTTCTATCCTGAAAATAAAGCAAAAAAAAAAAAAAAAAGAGTCTGTACACTTAGGCTATAAGTAGGCAGGCAAACTGGACAACAGGCAAAATCATCCTCATATTTAGGTAACAGTGATGGAAATGTCTAGAGTCTCACGAAATCATGCTGCCATTCCTACCTCGGCTAGACTGGCAGATGTAACCAGGAGATTGGTCCCGGGCAAGGAGTTGAGTGGCACTTTGGTGCACTGACCTGAGATGGAGGGAAGGTGGCCACTAGCCCAGGCCTGGAGACTTTCTCACGTAGTGGTCAGCTCCCAGCCAGGGTCTCTTAGCCAGGACCGCCCTCTCAGCCACGCCCTCCCACAGAGTAGGCCAAGCGTGGACGATTCTCGGCGTGGGAGGTGTCCCCATCTGGCCCCACCCCGTGGTCCCTCCTCGACCCTACAGCGAATGAGCTGACATCCCGAGAGGGGCGTGCCCCCGTCGGGCCCCGCCCCCGCAGGGCCCCGCCCCCGCCGGGCAGCGAATGAGCGTGCGCGCCGCGAGGGTGCCGGGTGCTGCGGCGCCTGAAAAGGGATCGGTGCGCGGGTGGGGAGCGCTCCCCAGGTTCGGTGTTGGTTGGGCCGGTACCAGAGGGTGCCGCTGCGGGAGGAACTCAGGAGCCCGGTCGAGGCTGCCCCGGAAATGCTTTCTGCCGGCACAAACATGGCTGCGGCCCTGCGAGCTGCAGGAGCCTTGCTCCGCGATGGGAGTAAGTGGGGCTGTGGCGGCTGCAGTCGAGGCTGAGGTCCCTGCGTCCCCGGGGGCAGTGGGCGGTTCGCAGCGGGGCGCTCCGGCCTGCGGGCTCCTGAGCTGCGAGGGGCGTTGCGGAGGGACCCAGGACGGACACTGAGGCCGCCGTGTGGGGCCCGCGCACGGGGCGCGCCGCCGAGTTGCCCGGGCCCGCTGGGTGGACGTGAGCTGTGGCTGACTTACTCAGAGCCTTAGTTACTGTCATCTGTACTAACGATGGTTTTGGGGTTTGCGGGAAGGAAGTTACATTAAGGGCCTGTCACTTGGAAAGTGTCACGGTAAAGCAGGCATCACCATTATCACTACCATGGGCATCTGCTCAGCAATTCCCTCCCAGGTGTTTATTAATCTTCGCAATATAGAACTGTATTTCTACTTTTGAACTCGGAGGTACTCTACCATGAGCTACATCCCAGCCCTTTTTTAATTTTAATTTTGAGATAGGGTCTGGCCAAGTTGCTTAACTTCTTATCTTCCTGCCTCAGCTTCCTGAGTCACTGTGCTTGGCTTCTACTGTTTATTATATAAAACGATGCATATTTTTATGTGCACCTTTTGAAATAATCCCAATCTCCCATGTGATAGAAAATGGTTATATTATATATTTAAGTCTTGTGTACTTTGCATTCTACCCTCTTCTGCTCTACCCAAAGCATCCAAAATATTAAAAATAATTTGCTTTTGAAGAACCAGTGATACTCATGAACTTAAGCCACAGATACATTTTTTAATGCTTTTTCTATTGAGTTTTCCCTGGAGTTGTGGAGCTTTATTTTCTTATATCATCTTTTCTTCTTCTGCATACCCCTATTTGAGAACCTTTATTGTTTATAGCTGGTCCACAGGTAGACCAGTTGTCCCTGTAAAGGCAGCGGGCAGGGCAAAGTTACCTGGTCCTGGAGTGTAAGTGGGCAAGTCTTATTACTGAGTACTCTTAATCTCTTTGCCTAACCACATGCAGTGGTCAGGTCTTGTTTTGGGGATGAGGCATAGTTTTTTTTCCCCCTCTAATCATCACAACAGCTGGTAAGTCAGCCTTATCACCACTTCACAGATGGGAAAAGTGAGGCTTGCAATGCTTCAATGAATTGCCCAAGTGCAGCTTATTGATCCTATGTGGGATTTCCCAGATCTTTCTGGCTCCAGAATACATACTTTGTATTTAGCAGTCTCAGCTCATCTTTTGAATGATTACTTTTACCTTTTTTTGCAAGACAAATTCTAATTGTTTGGTAGAAGGCACTTCATTTTTCTAGAACCTTTAAGCTCTCTAGGGGAGGAGAGTGTCTTAGAGATGCCCTGAAGAGAGAGGTGTATTAACCCTAAGTCCTGAGTAGAAAGCATCTCTTATTAGCAGCATCACTGTTCTCTCCTCAAATTTGGTCAGCCATGGAGAAAAGAATTTTGTAAACAAGGGCATGGAATAGTTAACTTGAAAAGCCACCACTTCCCAAACTGTACTAGGAAATCCTAATGTACTAGATGGAGAATCTAGTCCTATCCCAACTTCCTTCCTTTTCCTTTTTTTTTTTTTTTTTTTAGGTTTGCAAGAAGAAATTTTATTTATGACCAGTGGTCAAATTTTGGAATACCAAAGTTCTGTTCTCATACCCCATGTAATCTGATGTAATCTTATTCATATATGAAATTAAGAACTTGGTGAAATCTTACTATGTAGTTTAGAATTAAACTTTTCTAAACTAAGGAGATGTGTGTTGCTTTGAGTCTTCATGTGAATGAAACTGGACTTTTTTTTTCTCCCCCCAGTATTAGCGATTGAACTCAGTGGTGTTGCTGTACCACTGAACTTTACCCACAGACCTTTATATTTTGAGACAGGGTCTCATCAAATTGCTGAGGCTGGTCTAATACTTGCAATCCTGCTGCCTCGATTTCCCCGTTATCTGGGATTATAGTTGTGCACCAGTGGACCTGGCAGGAATTCAACTTCTTTATATCAGTTTGTACTTTCACTTTGACTTAGTTAGGATTACTCAGCACAAACCCATTTAATTGGCTCTGTTGGGAGTATGCACAATCTGGATAGTTGGAAATCTATGTGGCTTACTGATATAATTTTCCTATATTTTGTACACATGCTGGGTGATTTAAGAGAACCCAGAGCAGGTATAGTTTCTATTCTCTAGAAACTTACAAATGAAACTAATGATAGCACCAACCACGTGGTGGACACTGCGGAGTGCTTCACTTGTCTTATCTGCTTTATTCCTCATAAGAGTTCCAATAGCAAAATGTCATTTTATAGCTGGAAAGTGAAGGCTCAGAAAGATCATAACTTGGCCCTGGGTTACTGCTTATAAGTGACAGAACTTAATTCAGAGTCGGACCTGGCAGGTCCACAGCCTGAATTACTCATCAGTGTACTTCTGCCTCTTAGGACTACAGCAGGAGGCTGATTTCAAGCTGATTCCTCCTGTCCAAGTACTAACCAGGCCTGAACCTGCTTAGCTTCCAAGATGAGACAAGACAAGACAAGACAAGACAAGACATTCAGGGTGACTTGGCCATAGACTCAAGCTGATTTCTAACCTACTGGCCTGAGAGTGGGGAAGGAGGTCCTGTGAACTGCATGGGAAACAGTAGTACTGTCCCATGTTGCCCTCTTCAATACCTATTTGGCTTCAATTTAATTTCACTGTATGCCTGAGGACCAACACTCTCTTGCTACAACTGAGCATGGCACGTGGACTCTTCAATTCATGTGCCTTTTCCAGGCCTACCTTTAACTCTTGTGAGGCTCTGGTCAAAAGTATATATGGTCACACATATATAGCACATGTGGGATAGTAAGCTAATAAAATGGGATGTGTTTTGTCCTCTGACATAGACCTTGGTCTCAACTACAAGGGTACACTCTTGAACTTGAACTCTCATGAGCTGCTGCAGAAATGTGGAGGCCTTGGGAAAGTCGACCTTCAGGCTTTCCTGCTTCTCTTCTTGCCTCCTGCCACCCCTTGGCCACGCTTCAGTTCCAGGATTGTTTATACTGATGGCACAGTCTGCCCTCAGGAGGATGGATGGGCAGACCTGCAGATGGGATGGGGCTTTCAGAACAGAGAATTATCGATTCCTAAGTCCTGGGATTTGGGTCTGGTGTGTGGGGTGTGGACTCTGGGGCAGGCTTATCTCCTTGGCCATGTCGATTGCACACTCCATGGGGTGGGTGGGGTGCAGTGAGAGGATGGCCAGAGCTGGCCTGTAAAGCAGAGGCTCCTGACCCTTGCCAGGGCTCACGGGCATTACTGGGGTTCACAGCACTGGTGCTTTACTGGTGCTTGGAGGCAGAAATGAGATCTGCAGTTCATTGGACAGTGGCCCAATTTTCACTCCCTAAATCAGTAACCCTTCATCTTTCTGTGGACCCCTCACCTTTTCCCTGACCACCACCCTCAGGAACATTTAGAATGTACAGGGGTTCTTATGAGGGATCATATCAAAACTGCAGCCAAGGCAGGGAGAGGAGGTATGTGGCTTCCAAATTGCCTCCCTGCAGGCTCTCATAAGCCATCCCAGGGCAGCGGATCTCCACCCATCCCCTTGGAGAGGCCTTAAGTGCTTCTACCCGCCTGCAGAGAAATACTGGGAATATCACCTCTGCCATCACATCTCTTTAAATTTTAAAGCCAGGAATTATACCCTGAGGACCTCTTCAAAAGAAATTACTTTCCAGCTAGATTTCATGCTAGCACTTTAATTTTGTCACAGTGGTGCATGGCAGCTCGAGGGCCCGTCAGCCATGGAGGTGTCAGTTGGGTACAGCGGCAGCGGCAGGCACCACAGAGAAGGCCCAACAGTCTAAGAGTACAAAACCTCAAGCTCAACTGGAAAAGAGGTATGAGTCTAATTTTAGGTACAAATAAGAATTTGTCTTTATTGTTGCACACACCAGTGGTTTCAAGATACCTAGGAGGAGAGGTACTGGGAAAACCCAGGATATCGGAAGGGCTATGTTATTTTCTTGGCTTCCTCTAAATAGCTGTTAAACTACAAATTTTAATGCCCCCTAACCCTCAGCAGGGCTTTCGTTGAAAAGAGAACACATGAAACTAGCCTGCACATCATGCAAGAATTTGGTCTTGGAATAGGTCCCACAAATTATGTGTATGCTGGAAATGTATTTATGAACTTAACATAATTATGCCTGTGAAACGTGTCCCATACAGGATAGAGAGGAACTAGCTTATCAAGAACTCCTATAGAGGGGCTGAGGTTGTGGTTCAGTGGTAGAGTGCTTGCCTAGTATGCATGAGGCACTGGGTTCGATCCTCAGCACCACATAAATGTAAAGATATTGTGTCCACCTAAAAACTTAAAAATAAATATTTTTTTAAAAGAACTCCTATAGAAGACTCTACCATAATTAGAACATAATTATAAATGACATACTATGATTTTTAGTTTATTAAATAAATCAAGTCTATGTTTCCTTCCTCACCTCTTTTATTTGCTGGTGGAAGGCAGCAGGTATGTTGCAGAATGTCCTCTTTGATAGCAGAAGCCACAACTGTCCTTAGGTCCTCCTCTGAAGGGCAGCTAGAGCAGACTCTATAAAGGAAAGTTGTTTAGATCTAAGGGTACCAAGGAATGGTGAGCTTTTACACCAGGCAGAGTGAAAGAAGGAAAGTAGCTGTGACCTGTGTAACTCATTGACCTTTCTACAAGACCCCATGTCAGTGTAGGAAAGCAGCCCTGAAAATGGAATATTCCAATTTCATGTTTGCAGTTTTTCATGGTGATGAGAGGTTCATTGATGGAATGCTAAGTAAATGAAGTTTGTTAGGGATAGGACATATGGTTGGCAAACTATCTCCTCTCAACTCTCAGTCTTCCTAAAAGATGGAGTTAGTGAGGAGGATGAGAAGTACAGATGTCATTTTTGGTTGACAGTGAGCCAAGCAGGGCACTGGTCCTCCTGCCTTCAGCAGTGCCTCTTCCCACCTTATCCCTAAGTTCCTAGGGGTTGGAATAGGTATTGGTTTAAGGTGAAAAACTGATTCAGTGTGGGATCCTGGAAGGAGAGTTATTTCATCACTATATTATTCTAGTGGCAAAAGCCAATAACATAAATAGCCTTAATTTAAATTATTCAAATTAAATAAAAATCTAAAATAAGCCCTAGATTCTATTAAGTTACTTTATATCATATTTATAGAAAAGCAATAAAAATACAAATGGGAAAAATAAAAGATAAAAAATATCACTGATAATCTTACCATCTAACATTTTATCTCTGTTATCTATTTGTATTCACTTGATATATACTTACTGAAATGTCATAATGCTATACATACTATTTTATAATTTCTTATCTTTACTTATTGTATCATCATATAATTATAAATATTCTTCTGTATTATTTTAGTAGCTTAGGAGTATTTTATTAAATCATAATTCATCCAGTTTCACATTATAGTCATAGGTTATTTCTGGTTTTTCCGTATTTGAGTTGAAACAATACATGCCTTTGTGTATTATTCTGATGGCAGGCCATTTGAAGGCATTGTGCTGTTGGACTGAACTAAATTAGAATACTTGTTATAGTCAGCTTTTTTGCTGCTGCTAAGAGACCTGACCAGAACAATTTTAGAGGAGGAAAAGTTTATTTGGGGGCTCACAGTTTTAGAGGTCTCAGTCCATATGTTTAAACAGAGGTTCCATTCATTCCTTTGGGCTTGATAAGAGGCAGAACATCATGGCAAAAGAAAGTGGTGGAGGGAAGTGGCTCATGTGATGATCAGGAAGCAGAGAAAGAGACTGCACTTGCTAAATACAAAATATATATCCTGAAGGCACACCCCCATTGACCCACCTCCTCCTAGCCACACCCTACCTGCCTTCAGCTACCACTCAATTCACTGATTGGGTTAAGGCTCTCATAACCCAATCATTTCTCCTCCAAACCTTGCATTGTCTCACACATGAGCTTTTGGAGGACACCTCACATTCAAACCATAACCATACTAGATGATGCTATTTTAGATTAGGGGTTGGCAGACTTGTTCTGTAAAGGTTTAGGTAATAATTTTTTTTTTTAGGCGTGCAGGCCATATCATCTCTTCACTGCTCTGCACCTCTGCTGTTGCAATGTGAGAGCAAAAATAATGTATGAACACATGAATAGAACTGTGTTACAGTAAATTTTCTTCTATTTCCCAAAACAGGCAGTGTATATGTGTATGTGTGCAGATTTGGTGCAGATCTTATAAAACTACAGCCTGTCTCTAGGTGGCCTAGATCCACAGGTCAGTTACATCTTGAAGGTTTAATTTAGGATTTGGAATTTGTTTCCTTTCCTTAATGCTGATTATATATAGTAGGATAAAATTATTATTTTCTTTATTAATTGATGAGATTAAGTTCCTAGTATGTCCATTTAGTAGTTCAAAAGAAAAACCTTATATTTTGAGAGTCCCAGAATATAAGAATGGCAAAACATTTAAACCTTTCAAATATGTTTTGCTGCATACAGTTTTATGTTTAAACAGAGGGAACTCGACCAGTCAGACCTTGGTCTCAGGTGTGCTCTGTCTGGAGGGGAGAAGAGACGGAGACCCTTGACTAAAGCTTTGCACTTCACTTTCTGGAATAGAGCGGAGTCCGACTAGGGCTTACTAATACGCCATTCATCATGCACAACACAGTTTTGAATTAAGTGCATGTGTATTTGGGCATTTTCAAATCATGTGCATCTCTTTCATGTGTAAGATCAACATGGGTCTGCAAAATCATGAGCAGGGCAGAGTAACATCCGCTTTTAAGCCACTCTTGTTCTGAGCTCAGGTGTTATAGATGAAAAACACAGTTCTAAATCCCGTTTGCGCATTGATACCCTCTGTGGCTTAGGTAAGTCTTTTAGCCTGGGGTTTCTTAACCAGTAATCTTTTAACTGGCAGCAATCCATGGGAAAATGCACTTAATTTATTGTGAGTCACAGATTTTGAGGGTAAAAGACAGGATCCCAGGAGAAGACTGGTGGTCTAAGTATAAAGATTAAAGGCATATTAGTCTCACAAAATGATGCTTCTGGAAGTTTGAGGTAGCAAGAAAAGAAAACCATACCACAATTAATTTAGTAATAGGACTTCTATATGGAAAAGTTCTATAATAATGACATCTTTAATGAACCAAGTGTCATCACTTGGTTCAGTCAAAAGAGGGTTAAACTCTCTTTTCTAAGATAGTGGTTATAAATGTGATTGGGGACATTTTATTCCTCTCAGGACAAATTGGGCACTATCTGGAGACATTTTTGGTTGTCATCCTGGGGTAGGGTATGTATTGTTGCCATCTAGTAGGTAGAGGGCAGGGAGTTACAAAACATGCTACATTGAATAGGACAGTCCATCACAGCAAAGGATTATCTAGCCCAAAATGTCAAGAGTGCAGAGATTGAGAAACCCTGGTCCAAGACAATTATATAAAAAGTGATCTTAGTTAATTTTTAAAATGGGATCTAAATWAGAAAAACTCCGACTTCCTTGTAATGCTGCATCTCCCCTTTCCCTGTTAATTGGTTCTTACTCTAAAGTCTGAGCTGAGATTTCAGATTTCCGTCTCATTCACCTACAGTGTGTTTGATCAAGAAAGTAGTTTCCACCTATATAAATTAGACACATGCTGCTCCCTAACGTTATTGCCAAATGTTCTTAAAGTTGTTTAAACTGCTGTTAAGATGTAATTGTAATATCATTACTTTCAGAACACATTAAGAACAGTCTTCCAAAAGAGAACCATCCCGGCAGGGTTGGTTTACTGCTGTGGGAGCCAGAGGTGGCCCCATGTTAGGTTTAGGAAGTGGGCCCCTCACCATTCATAATAATGCCACTTAGATAAACTTCTGCTGGCTATTTCTCAGCTGCTTTATCAGGAATAAATGGAGGATACAGCCATACAATAGGATATTATTCAGCAATAAACAGCAGTGAAATACTGATTCTTTCCTGCAACATGGATTAAACTTGGACATTTTATGCTAAGGGAAAGAAACCAGAAACAGTTGTATTTCCATTTCTGTGAGATGTTCTGAACAGGTGAATCCATAGATATATTTGAATTTTAAAAAGAAAAGGGAAACAAATGGAAGAAACACTCTGTTCTTATTTTCTTCATTGCCATCACTTGGCTCTCCATTCATGGGGGCATACAAGGCCCCCAGTTCTCCTGGTCCAGTTCAGACCCTGACCTTCTAGTTCTGGGTCTCCCTAGTCATGGTCTTTGGTGGTTCCCAGAGCACATGGAGACAGTCAGTTTGCCCTGAGCTTTACCTTGCCCCTGGCAGGGATTAAGAGTAGAGAACTCCCAGTTGGACTGACTTCAGGCCGCATAGGCTCCAACGCTGTGTGGGATTTAGAAGTCTAATTTTTTTTTTCTGTATAGTACTTCTGTTTTTTTTTTTTTTTCAATTTTCCTGAAGCTACTTGACTTAAGACATTTGTTAACAACTTTTACTTTATTTTTGCTTCTTCCCACTTATGCAATGCTTGATTCTTTAGCTTTGGACTAACTTAAATGTTAGTGACATTTTTTTTCCCCAGGAATTCTCTAAGCAGTGGATTTTCAGGAAAGGTAAGCATAGAGTGAGAAATGTAGTTTATCATAGCAGGGGTCATGGAAGAAAGAGTAAAGGCAGGCAGTGGAAAAGGAAGCAGAGTAGCAAAAAGTAATTGAAGTCAAGACTCATTTTATAATTCACAAAAGTGAGCAGATAAATGAGTGAGAGATGGGCTTATGCTATACTTTGGAGGTTTAAAGTTACATGGGAATCCTTCTTTGTATCAGATTTATTATGTGCCAGATCATGCTAAGTAATTCAGTACTTGAGCACTGAATTCTCAAAACAACTTTTGACTTGTATTTAGCACATGTGAAAACCTGAAATTTGGGGAGGTTGAGAACTATATGTCCATAAAGGCTCTGACATGTACAGATTCTTCAGCCTCAGGACATTGCTATATTTCTACTTTGACTCTCAGTCCCTAAAGAATCAGATCTTTGTTTAGGGCTGACAGGTTAATAGGGAAACATTTGAGCCTGGTGAAGAGCAATGGATGGAGCTAAGAGACGCAGGTCAGAGTCTGAGCTGGGAAAATGGAGAAGTGGAGGCCTGTTGTGTCCCCAAATAGGCAACCATGGAGTAGCAGCAAAAAGGTCTGTAGATTTTCCATTTGGATCCAGTTGAGAGTTTGTTAGCTGAATCAAGTATGTCCTAGAGGAAAATAAAATGTGTGACAAATGAACTGTTGCATTTTATTTTGTACAGGAAGCCAAAAACCGGAATATTAATGCTAAACATGGGAGGCCCTGAAACTCTTGGAGACGTTCATGACTTCCTTCTGAGGCTCTTCTTGGACCGAGACCTCATGACACTTCCTATTCAAAAGTAAGATATGTATAAACTCCTGCACTTTAAAAAACATATGCAGTGCATTTGGCTTTACATGTACCTCAGCTCTGGAGTTTGAAAAAATTGAAGAGTTTCAATACATATCTAGTAGTGGTTAGAACAGCAGCATACCGTCTTTAGGAACTCAGAAGATGTGATACAGAAAGAACTAATAGGGTGGAAGCTAGTTAGTGAGCATTCTGCTTGAGCCCTCTCCTCCCCAGAGCCCTGGAAATTGCAGTTGTCTTGACACAATGGAAGTACCTTTAAAGATTTTTAAAGATATATTTGTACTTGGCATGTAACGGCTGATTAACACTCAGAGAAGCAATGATGATTATTCTTTTGTACTTGAATATGGATTACTGCTATTCTCCTTCTCTCTTTCATTCTTCCTTTCCTATGTCCTTCTTTCCTTTTAAAATAGGTTTTTCAGTGAAACATTTATACATAAATATGATTTAAAAATGTAAATAGTATAAATATATTGATGGTACAAAGTAAGTGTCCCTTTTCCTTGAACTCCAGCCTCCCAGTTTCCTGCCCAGAGGTAAACACTGTTACATCCAGAAATAGTCAATGCATATCTGAGTGTATGTATGTGTATGTGTGTGTGTGTGTGTGTGTATGTGTGTGTGTGTATATATATATATATATATATATATATATATACTGTAAATATTCCTCCCCAACTTTGTTACACAAATGTGAATGTACTTATGAACATTATTTATCACTTTGCTATTTTTTAAAAAACTTAGCACTATATTTTATTTTATATCATAATACATAGATCTAGCTCATTTTTTTAAATGACTGTTTAGAATTGCACTATATGATTGTACCTTAACATAATGATAGGCTTGTGCTTCACTCATAGACAATTAAGTTGTTTACAGTGTTGCAATGTACATATTTTTTGCACACATCATTGATCATATTTATAAGTACATATCTATAAATTAACATTCATTTTGTTAAACTAAGAGCAGTATATATTTCCTATATTTTATATACTAATTCTTGTTAGGTACAAAATAAGATAGTAGCTAGTAAGGATCCAGGGCTCTCTGTGTGAATGTCAGGAGTCCTGAATCTTCCAGGTGTGCTGCTGGAACAACTAGTAGAGAGCAGAGGTGATTATTCCTTAGAGAACATCTAGCTTCAGCTCTCTGTTCTCTGTCCAAAGAACTAGCTGTGTCAGTGACCTCAAGCTTTTATTTATAAAGGCTTGACCTTGTTAGGTTTGTCTTAAATTTTTGCTTATCTTTATTGAGTAGAAAATATTTCTCAGGTTGCTAAGGTGGAATAAAATCCACTTACCTACATGTTAAATGGTTTAGTAAGCTGGCACCATTCATCGCCAAACGCCGAACCCCCAAAATTCAAGAGCAGTATCGCAGGATTGGAGGTGGATCCCCCATCAAGATGTGGACTTCCAAGCAAGGAGAAGGCATGGTGAAACTGCTGGATGAGTTGTCCCCTAACACAGGTACACTGTTTCTTCATTAACATAATGCTAGGCTTGTTATTTCAAAGTAGTTATGAAATTCAAAATAGTACTGGATGCAGTGCTGTTGTGTGTATTGGTCACTCTAGATTTGTAAGTTTCTGCATAATATATGATCACTTAACTGAGTTCTCAAGGCATTACCCTTGAACTTTAGAGCCTTTTCCATTACTTTCTATGTTACAAAGGAAAAAGCGGAAAATTTGTACTATGAGTTTCAAAAGGAGGTTCAAGGTAGCTAGATTATAAGGCAGAAGCAACATGAATAAAAAATGCATGTATCATTGTATTGGAAAGAAGTCCTTCAGAAATGGATTGAGCTGCTGCTGTGGCCCTTTCTTTCTGTTTGGATAGCTAATTAGATCAACATCGAGAGCAGAATTAGCCACTTTCCACTGAAGCCATGAGACACTAAGCAGCATTCAGTGATTGCTTTTAGCTCTCAGCAGCAGCACCATTGGCAGCTATCAAAGTGGCACATTGGACATGGAACTAAAAAGAGGATTGTACACATATGGTGACTGCCCTTTGAGAACTTTTAAGCAGAACAATCGTGTACAGAATGAGACACCAAATGCACAAATGAATTACAAGTGCCATGTTGAATTGCATCCAAGACTCACTCAATGCAGGACACACCATTATTTCTGTACAATACTGAGAAACACAAAATACTGGCAATTAATTTTAAGACATCATCTGTTGTAGATATGGACCAATACGAGACGTGTTAATATTGCAAAAAAATGTTCTTATTAGGACACAGGAAATACATTCATTGTAGATACATTTTAGGGTTTCAGGACTCAGGACAGGAGTGTGACACTGTGGAGACTCTCAAGGCAAATTAGCCCCCATTAGGCAGGACCAAAAGGAGTATTCCCCTCTCTGAGGAGAAGTCATTGAGCATCAACTTGAATTGCTCTCAGAATCCACCGTTTCCCATTGTACAAAGGGACAAAGGTTTCTAGTCCTTTAGCAGATCATTTCACTTGGAAAATTGTTCAATCGTGCTTCTGAATATTAGGTTGCGTCCTGCCTGCCGCTGTGGCTCAAGGGCATTTCTTATACAGTTCAGCCACAGATGCCACAGTGCATCTTTTTAAATATTAGTGGAAGAAAACTTGGCTGCTCTCCATTTACTCCTATTTGGTAGAGAACAAACTCTCTCATTATTAACACTTTATCATCATAAAAGGTTTAGTGTGAATCAGGTTTGCAGCTTATGTAGTAGAAAAAAAGAGGCAGAAAGGTGCCATTTTTTTTTTGTTTACATGTTACTATGGTATCCATCAACATCAAGAGCCCTAATAGAGATGTCAGACTAGAGAAAGGAAACCAGGTGGAAGAGCATCCTTCCCACCTCTCCTTCCACTCTGGTTTCTATGATTTGTCCAAACCGATCAAGCCACCTTTTGCCTCAGTCTCACTGGTTGGCTGGGCAGAGTTCCCACAGAATGACCTGGATTGAACCAATGTTCCACTCAGTATCAAATGTCTGATCATTTTAATGTGTGTCTATGTTATGCAAAGACAGGAAGTTACAAGCTCGTAAATTCTGGGATTAATCGTTCTCTGCTTTGGTAGGCATCAAAGGATAATAATGTCCACTTCATGCTTACATAATCAAAATGTGAAAGTGGTTTTGAAAAAACAGGGATTAAGTGTTCTATCTTTTAGAGTCTTACTTTAAAAAGTTCACTACTCTTTATTGGAAGTGTGGGCCTAAGTTTCAGGTATTTATGGAGCCTGAGTCAGCTTGGTGGCTGGCTTGTCCCATTACATTCACTCCTAATGTGGCAGGAAACTGTTTCCTCTTTTGCTCATTCCATTCATTTCCCCACTTACACAGCCTCTCTTTCATCCATGAATTCCCACATCCATCCAACAACCAGCCACCAGGTGTGCGTAAGCACTGGTCACGTGTCACACACAGTGCTGAGCGACAGAGGAGCAAGTGAGCTATGTGTTACCTTCATGGAGCTAATTTTTCTGGTGGTTTTCACGGAGGCAGAAGGTTACTTCTCTTGGGAATGCTTTAGATTTCTCTGGATCTCAGAAGCTCATCTAGGGTCCTGGTCCTGGGTGGGTGTTGGTAATTGGTGACCATTTTAGCAAATCACTATTCTCTGTGGCCCACGGTTGGCAAGCCACTTAAACCTTGATGGATGACCACACCTATCGTTAGTGGGCCTGCTTTGGGGTATGGCAGTGGTGTTGAACATAGGCCAAGACCACCCATTCGTTCATTCCACAATGCTACTCATTGTTTAGTGCTGCTATTCTGAATTGAAAACCGTGGTTTCTATTTACAAGAAGCTTCCAGTTCAGTGAGACCTTGCTGCTTCAGGCAGTCTTCTTATGAAGCAGAGAGAAAATCTTTTGGAGACTTATTATAAAGATGGTACACAAAATGTTTGCGGGCTGATCAGCACAGAGTATGAATGTAGGATAAATGAAATAGTGTGTAGGCTTCAAAGCTTGGTGGGGGAGTTTTGCAATGAAGACCAAGAAAATCACTAAACGGGCTCTGTGGCTCTCCAGATTGTCCAGAAGTAGGCTCCCTGCCCTATTACTTGCATTTCAATGAGTGCACACTAAGCCAAACCCAGTGCCTTTTAGAGGAACCAACAGTCAGTTCCGTCCCTCCTGTTCCTCTTTCATGTTTCTCAAGTTTTCTTTCTCTAGTGTCCCCCAAAGTTTATGTATTGGAAATAATCCTAGAATTCATATGTTAATGACATTTGGAATTGGACTCTTAAGGTTAGATGAGATCAGGAGGGTGGGACACCTATGATGGCAATAGTGACTTTATAAGAAGAGGAGAGAGCTGGGGTTGTGGCTCAGTGGTAGAGCACTTGCCTCACATGTGTGAGGCACCGGTTCCATCCTCAGCTCCACATGAAAATAAATAAATAAGCCAGGCAGACTGGAACATGCCTGTAATCCCAGGGTTTGAGAGGCTGAGGCAGGAGGATCGTGAGTTCAATGCAGCTTCAGCAAAAGCGAGGCGCTAAGCAACTCAGTCTCTAAATAACCCTGTCTCTAAATAAAAAACAAAATAGGGCTGCGGATGTGGCTCAGTAGTCTAGTGCCCCTGAGTTCAATCCCTGGTACCCCCCAAATAAATAAATAAATAAATAAATGGGATTGTGTACATCTACAACTAAAAAATTTTAAAAAGAAGAAGACAGATCTGCGCTAGCATGCTTGTTCTGTCTTGCCATGCAGTGCCCTCTGCCATGTCACTATGCTGCAAGAGGACCCTCGCCCAATGCTGGTGCCTTGCTCTTGGGCTTCCCAGCCTCCAGAGCTGTGCCAAATGAACTCCTAGTCTATAAAAATTACTCAGTCTGTGGTATTTAGTTGTGACAACAGAAAATGACTAAGACATCCTCCCTTCTTTTCTACACAATTATAAAGTTGACCTTTGAACTATGTCTTTTTGTTTATTTCTACTAAGAAATCTTGAAGCAAGAAAACATGATTGTAAACAGATAAAAATGTTTCACACTGTCGTTTTTTAGGGACATGGTTGTTGCTTGGTGGCCAGAATGGAAATTTTTGAGATTTGCACTGGTTTTGCATAGAATTGAATATATGATATAGTGAGTTATAGCAAGGGATATGGTTACATATAATTACAGGGCAGTATAATCATGTAAAACATAGAAGACAAAGGTGAGAAGTATAGTCATAGGATGAAAAGTCTAAGTCTAAAATATGTTTTTAAAAATTATAGTTTGCTTATGTGGGCAGTGACTGCTTTTAATGAAACTGAGAACACAGTTGGTAGGGAGTTGGGATCTGGGTCAGGTGGCCTTGCTGCTTCCTCCTGGTGTGTGACTTCAGGCAGTTTGCTTACCTCATTAAGCCCCCTTTCTGATAGGGAGGTAGCAGAATCCACTCCTTGGGTCATTGTGAAAATTAAATGAGATAATCCTAAAAGACATTAGCAAGGTATGTGGCCAAAATTCACTAAATGTGAGTTTTTATTTCTCAACATTGGCCCAGAGTTTACCATCTGATGCAAATTAAAAAGCATCATGCTACATGTTTCAGACCCTTCTTCTAAAGGATCTTGTCCCAAATGGGAACTATTGTACATACTAAATTAATGAAGTTTTCTGTTTAAAATCCCATTTTTCTTTCTTCTCATAGTTCCCTCCAAAGTATGTCCATTTTGAGGCAGACTAGGCCAGGCCAGTGAGTCGTGTGCTTGGCCATCACTCTGGCCAGGTGTGGTGCCCAGCAAATGTGGTGCTGGTTAATGTCTGAGAGGCTCCTTCCCCTCCTTGTGTCCTGCCAGGGATAACCAACTGTAAGACATTCATTATGACAGCAGGGACCCTCGTGAACATTGCTTGTTGGCTCTTCAGGCTAGGCCAAGTCAGGGTGCATGGCCACTTTTTCTAAATATGTGTTTGTAGGCCTTTAGAAAACATTATCTGTTCTTTCCAGAGTATTTTACTCTGCCTCATTTAAAAACATGGTCACCACCCCACCTTTATCTGCAAGAACAGTCTCTCAACCCTCTTAGTCTGCACTATTTGGGAAACTCCCAGACCCCAGGCATTTAGACTGCACTTTTCAAACACTGGACAGGTGAAAAGTCAATGTGAGAAACTGGTTGACCTGCAGCATCTGGGGAGCTCACTCTGTCAATCTGCTAATTGTATTGTCTCCAAGTAGATTAGAAAGCTGTTTCCACTGGCTTGCTAAACCTCAGCGCTGAGAGCCAAGGGTTGCCTAGAAATGAACTTGAGGGTTTTGTGATGTTTGATAATTTTAAAAATGAAGCACATAGTTGTTGAACAGTTGTTCCTTTGAAATTTGCTTATAGGGTCGTGTCCCCTGGGGTGTTTTAACTACAAGTCATCTATTTTATACAAGAGAACATAAAATTTGTGGCCTAGAAGGAACTGACAGTTGAAAATGATTCCGTTTATATCCTTCCTTCCTCTTTTTTTTGCAGTCTCCAGCACAAGTATACTGAATCAGACCATTCTTACACACACACACACACACACACACACACACACACACACACACAAAACCATTGACATCTTGTTTCTGCCCTTGGTAACATGTTCCATTATTTCATAGTTCCCAGGGTCAAGTTATGGAGGATATTGCCCATGTGTACATCCATGTATATATAGGATAAATTCTTTATCTTTTCTTTCACTTTTAACCTAATTGTTTCTAGTGGCAATTTTATGTCATGTTCTTCATTGCAGTCCCTGCAAACACTTTGAAAAATAACATAATCTGGGTTCTAACATAATCTGAGTTCTGTTATTCCTTGACGTTTGTATAGTGTATGCTCAATATCATTCTTGAGTGTTAGTTTTGTATAATCTCATAAAAGGCAATGCAGTGAGACCAGGTGACTTTAGGAAGCTTTCAGTTTTATGATTTTATGAATGCCTGAATATTTATGTGATATGACTGCCTTTGGAATGCAGGAGGATAAAGAAGATAGAAAGGGGAATTGGTGAAACCACAGAGGAAGAAGGAACACAGATGCAGACTCAAGCCATTTTAGGGCCACAAACAATTACTGGACATCTCACTTGATGCCTATAACTTAATTAAGCATTGTTTATGTACGTTATCAATGAACTTTTAATATGACTCTCAGTGCTTTTGCATTTGTTTAATAAAGTGAGTGACCTGGGGGCTCAGGGAAGTGGGTAGTGGGAACAGATGGGATGTTGAAGGAGATGGGCTTTGGAATGGGGGACCCGGGTTACAATTCCAGCTCTTCTTCCCACCAGGTATGGTTTTGGACAGGTCAGTGAACTTTCAGCATCTCTGTTTTCCTATCTAATAAATGGAGTTTAAGTGTGTGTGTTGGCGGGGACCGGGGGGTGGGGGGCGCGGGGAGCAGAGTGTCTCCTCCAGTGTCTAGTGTGCAAGAGTTGACACTTTAAGAACAAGAACAAGTGCTAGTTTTTCCTCCCTTTTCTTGAATCTCTCTTTTCTGAGCCAACAATTAGGAAAAGAAGTATGAATTTTAAAAACCATCATACTAAGTAAAAGTGTATGGGTAGGCGGTTGATCTTAGAGAATAGTGACCCAAAGTCCRTGTACCAGCTAAAGAATAATTAAGATCCCAGGAATATTCTAAACTTGCCCACATTATCAGCATCATAGGACATTACATTCACTGTTCTTTGTTCTGGGCATTACATTGTGTTTGGTGACTCTAAGGAATCTATATAAAGATTAATACTTTCTCCTTTCCACTTGTGCTTCCTAATAGCTCCTCACAAATACTATATTGGATTCCGGTACGTCCATCCTTTAACAGAAGAAGCAATTGACGAGATGGAGAGAGATGGACTAGAAAGGGCCATTGCTTTCACACAGTATCCACAGTACAGCTGCTCTACCACTGGTAAGGGTGGCTTTTTAAAATTTATTTATTCTAATTTGTTATGTATAACAGCAGAATGCATTTCAGTTCATATTACACATGTAGAGCACAGTTTTTCATGTCTCTGGTTGTACACAAAGAATAGTCACACCATTTGTGTCTTCATACATGCACTTAGGGTAATGATGACTGTCTCATTCCAAGGGGTGGCTTTTTTGACAATGGGCAGGTGGATAAGACCCTGGCAAAGTTAACCAGGGAGTCTGAGTGCCGTAAAAAGGATAAATCACTTAGATTTGAATGGCAAATCCAGCCTGTCTCCTTTAAACATGAGAGTTCAGGTCAGTCCATTTGAAATCTCATGGTTCATCTGCTCCTTGAATTATTGGCTGGTCAGCTGAGAATTACRAATGGTGGGTGGAAGGCAGTGGTGTGTGTGTTCACTGCCTTAATGCAGTTGGATAACGGATCAGTAATGAACCTTAAGCCACTCTCTAGGTTTACCTCACATTCTTCTTCTTTTTTTTTTTTTTTTTCCAAAAATGTTTTTGGCGGTATTGGGGATTGAACCTGGGGGCTCTACCCTTAGTCCTTTTTTATTTTGAGACAGGATCTTGCTAAATGGCCCAAGCTGGCTTTGAACTTGTGGTCCTCATCCCTTAGCCTCCCGAGTAGCCCCTGTGCCTGGCACACATATAGCCTTGTATTTATGGCTACCCTGATATTAATTAGCAGAGGTGATTGCTGTTTCCCTTTTGAAAGCAGATGCCTGTGTAGCATGGACAGTAGTGGTATTTTGTTGTTATTGTGCTGCATTCAGTGATAGTTGGTTGATAATTAAACTGAAATCCAGTTCTGGATTCCCTTTGCAGACTTCCCTCAGTGTTCTTTATTTTAGAAAATGTTACTGCTTGCTGTTCCCATGTACTTAACTAGAGCTGGAGAATAAGTTGTTTGGCAATCTCTGTGTCATTGCTAATAGGTAAAATGCCTACTGTCACCTACAAATACATTTATTTTTACTCCCAAAATGCTCTTAGGCAGTAATGTTTATTATTTCTATAACTATAAGGAGAAACAAAGGCTGCTGGTGGGAGAAACATTCAGAGTTTGTTGAGTGCCTTAAATATTTATCCAGAGCCCCTGTCAGGCACCCTCAAGTATCTGAATTGTGATTTCTTTTCAAAATGTACTTCTCAACTTCAAATTCTTTCTGGTAATATATTATTGGAAATGAGTCAGATCTTAGAATCTACTCAGATCTACTTCTGTCTTGCTTTAAAAAAATTTACCTTAATCTATAAATGTTTGMTCTCAAAAGTAGGTAGGTTTAGAAGATTGTTCTTCTATGACAAAGGGTTGACTTTGGGTTTTGTTTTCCAGCTGGCTTTTTGTGTGTGTGTTTGGAGCTTCAGAACATACTCAGTTTTTCTTGAGTGCATCTGTGTGTAAGGACAGGTACATCTTTACCTCTGAGGGTGAAAGCCTTTGAGATACACATTTATTCTTTGAGGCCCTCGAGTGTCGTTTATCTATTTTGTCTTTTAGACATGAGCTGTCATAGCAGAGCCAGTATAGTTTGGGTGTTATCACAAGCACTTTTCTCAGTTGTATTTACCCCTTCTGCTGGTTTATTGTTTCCGAGTAATCTGAATATGCTAATATAGCGGCCCAAATTCCTTTTATTATATCCAATAATGATACCCAGGTATTTTGTGAAACTGAAAATGACATGGAATATTTTTTKAAAATATTGGTTTTCAATATTCACATTGGTTTGCAATATGAATATAGTAGTAACTACTTTTGATTTCTAGAAATTATTTTTGACCATTGAATGGACTCAATTGGGATTCTTTTGAGTCACTGTTTTCTACTCACAAAATTGAACCTTTTTATTTTTGTGAAAGTTGAGCCTTAGCCTAACCATATGTTTGAGTTAAAATATGGCTCTGTTCTGATTAGCCTTTTAAATGGGAAACCTAACTGACTAATAGTTCCTATGATTAGAAAACCCACTGGCTTGGTGATGGGAAGCAGGCAAATATTTTGGAATTTGTCCTATTTTAAGATTGAGGAAGAGGCTCCATTTAGGATTGGCTTCATGGGTTGGAGTTTGGCCACAATGCCCAATTCCCTGGGCCAAGAAAAAGTTGCTTTGGTTGGCACCATCTGCCCTCCTGTAGGCTTCAATTTTTCATCTCCCACTTAGAAATACAAATTTTGTTAGAGTGCCTGTAGGGACTTGGTATCCATTTAACTTATTCTTAGGGATGATGATGTTGTAGCAGCACATACAAAGAAAAAGTCCTGATAGAAAGTGTGGCTCACCTTATTGTGATACCGTGAAGATGTGTGCTGATAACGCTGTCATTGTAACATAGAAAGTATTTATCTCATAATATTAAATAAAAATGCACAAATACTCAAGAGAAATATATATATATATATGTATATATATATATACACTAGTATTATAACTTTGTAAAACAAAGCAGCTATAAAGAAAATACCTGAAAACAATTGTGTTAGAACAGAACAATGACTGCATTAGCATGCTGGGATAATGGCTGGTTTCTTTGTTCCTTTCTTCCTCACCCATACATTTTCTATAACGGGACTGATTACCCTCATAATGGGAAAAAATTCTAACCTGCTTTCAATTGTAAGACTTGGTCCTGATAAGTAACAACTGCTTATATTTCATAAATCTCCAACCATCACGTTTCTCACTAGAAATGGCCTCAATAATCTTTGAGAGTCTGTTGTAATTGATTGCTTTCTTGTGACCTTCATTTGCAGGGTAGTTAAATCTATATGCATTTTAGAGTATTGAAAAGATTGTAATTASACTGGGATTCTGTATAGAAGCAGTTACCTACTTTGAACTTTTAATTACTGCCTTTCCTAGTCTTTTTTAATTTTCACAATAATCAAAGTATGTCTACTATATTTCAGGGAGCAGCTTAAATGCCATATACAGGTACTATAATGAGATGGGAAAGAAGYCCACGATGAAGTGGAGCACTATCGACAGGTGGCCCACACATCCCCTCCTCATCCAGGTAAGCCAGGACTGCCAGCAGTCCCCCTCACCAGCCTCTGGCGTGATCAGGTTCTTGTCCCTTCTTGGTTTGTGGTGTCCTTCTGAGCCTCCTGTTCTCTTGCTTAAATTACATGCCGGGGGTTTAAAAGAAAGTATTAGAGTCCTGATTTATTATGAAAAGAGAAAATAAATTTAAAGATTAAAATAGTTCTACTCTTTTCCTTCTTCACATTAATGCTCTTAGTCTCAAATCATAACAAAATAACATTTTGAGTTTTGTGTTTCCCAATGACCAGAAGAATATTTCAGACTGTACATGTTTCGGCTAATTTACATTCATAGATTGAATTACTGATAATAACTGAAACCCTTTAATTTCTAAATATTTTAAAATATCAAATTTAAAAAATTTAATATGCCTACATGTTCTGAGACATGAAAATAAAAATGTTTCAATGGAAAAAAGTTTCATTGATTTAAGAAGTTTCAACTTTCTCCTGTACAACTTATATGTATAATACGTATATTAATGGGTACTTGATTTTAGGAAAATCATTTTAAACTACAATTCTAAAACAAATAGTTTTGAGTTGGTATTTTATTCTTTTATGTCCTTCAAATATGGGAAGGCAATGGGTAAAATATTGCCCAGATTCATACAAATAAGTGTGTTGGGTTTTTTTTTGTCAGTAGTTCTAGATTGTCCAGTTTATTTTCCATTCTTTGAACATTCTCTGACCTCTGGCAAAATACCCCGTGAATTAAAATCTACAACCACTAGATGGTGCTAGACATCATTAAAACCAGACCCTCTCTCTCCAGAGCAGACCGGGGCCCCTTAGGCTGGTAAAGGGTTAATTCAGGGGGTGAACTCCAGTTTTAAGTAAAAGGTGAATAGAAGGAGCCCCCATGGGGATGGGTGTCACCGAGGGCTCTGTGTTCCCTGGCAGGACCCAGCACTGCCGGAGCCCCACATTCCTGACTGCAGCCCTTGGAGGCTGTGGGTGGAGGGAGGGGTGTTTCAGGTCAGCATCGACATGTGGTGCAGAGTACCGAGGGATCTGCACAGCATCTGCCTGCGCTGATCGAGGGAGTAATTAGATTTGCATTAAAATTCAGCCCTTTGAAAAGGGGGGAAGGAGAAAGATGGAAAGGTCTCTTAACTGAGGAAGTCTCTGTTCATAAAATAAAAGGGAATTTTAGAGGCATTTATCTGCCCTCCTGGATGGTGTGATTGAAAGCTCTGAGCGCCGCGGTGCCTCTTTCATTCTGCAGAGGGCTGCGCTCAGAAGATCCCGCAGATGGGCTGTAGGTGRTTTAAGCTGACGCCTTGGTGTTGAAGATGGTCTGGACACTGCCATGAGCCATGATGAATAATGTTCGTGTTTGCAGTTTTGCTAGCTGAGAAAGGGAAAGAAACACTGAGCTCTGGATGAGTKAGGAATTTTTTTGGAAATGAAAACAAAACTAAAACCCTTAATTAAACCAAAACTAAAAATAGAGTTTAAAGAAACTAAAAGTATGGTTCCTTAATCCACATTTCTACTTGTTACAGGTAATAATTACTCAAAATAGTCATTTTACTACTATGATCTCTGATATTGCTATTTATCTCACTGTTGGAGTAATTGGAGTCAAATTATGTCCCAAGCTATTTAAACTTCACAGTGGCCTCCTTATCTAGGTTGTTGCCCCCAAATAACCCTTTCTAAACATCCTTAGTTTCCAAACTCTGCAAAGACCACCGGAAAGTATAGTTTTTGTTTATATGAAATATTACCACATTTAATCTACTGTTAAATCATAAATTCTGAAGAGGGAAACTTAACTTTAGGTGTCTTCTTAGGTAATATGGTATTTATTTATCAAATTTGAGAGTTCTAGAATGATTGATAATACCTCAATATTCATTAGGGAATAGTTTGCACCTTTTACAGTATTGACTGACCACTGATATAGCAGAATACTTACAAAGGCAGATTTGTATGGTTCTGGGAAATGACCCTTTATCAATTAAAAAAATCTTTTTATTTGGAAATAATCTCAAGGATTTATAAAAAATGATAAGCATAAGAAGAGTATAGCCAGGCTGTGGTGTACACCTATTAGCCCAGCTGCTCTGGAGACTGAGGCAGGAGGATCACTTGAGCCCAGGGGTAGGTGACCAGCCTGGGCAATAGAGAACCCTGTCTCAAAAAAAAAAAAAATGTATAGGGAATTTTCTTCTACTCTTTGCCTACATTCATGTATTGTTAACATTTATCCTACTTGCTTTATTATTTGCATGCTCTGTGTGTATGACTATGTATGTTTGTGCATACATGTGTATTTTTTCAGAACATTTTGAGAGTGTTACTACCTTCTACACCTAAACATTCTAAGACCAGGACTATTCTCATACATAACTGCAACACAGCATTCAACATCAGTGAATTTAAACATTGATACTCAATTTTATCTCATTTCTGTTCATATTCCAGTTTTGTCAGTTGRCCTGTTACTGTCCTTTGTAGCACTTTCTTTATAAGTGAAATGATAAAGAATGATTCAAGTGTGAGATGAAAGAAAGCCTCTTATGATCTGGCATTTCAGCACCTATCCTTGTGAATTGGGAAATGCCAGCTAGATGGAGGGAGTGAACTGGTCTGGTGGACAGAGGTTTGTAGGCRGGACCTGTGTTCTAGCCCCAGTTCCCAGATGTGGCTGGACAGCCTCACGTCCACAGCATCTTTCCCTGCTCTGTTCATCTAATGGGGGTTGTGCCACCTGTCATCTGTTGTTAGGGAGGGTGTGAGAAAGGTTGAGATTGCCTCCATGAGGATCCTGGCTCAGGAGGAAGATGTCATAAAAATAGAAGAGTATTTTCTTATTTCTCTCCTATTTCTAGCTAATGTATTTTCATGCAATATGCCTGAAAGCCAAAGAAAGGAAGATTAAGAAAGACCCTGTAAGCTGTTTTCCTGCTAACAGAACAGATGCGAGGCCTTAAAACAGCTTCTCTTTCCCATCTGTGTTTCCTTTCCATCTGGAAGTGTGCCCTGCTCTTCCCGAGGGGAGGCAGATCCACAGCATTCATTTGCAGGGAGCCATTAGTGAGCTTCAGAAGTTTCCCATCAAATTCCCCAGGCCCCTCAAACCGTTATGATCCATTTTGTTGATGGACCAAAGCAAAGAGACTGTACTGTTTGCATTTTYTTTT